CCCCCCGCCACATATCCTCCAACCCCTTCCTACACCCACCATCACCCCACGCCTCTTCCCCCATCCCTGGCGAAGCAGGGGAGCTGCAGCCCCCACCTACCCCTTGCCCATGGAGCAGCAAGTGGGGGTACCCAGCCTAGACCAGATGCTTGGGAGAGCACAGGCCCCACTCAGCCCCTTATCTATGACATTTCTCTGATCTCCAGTAGTTTTTGAGTCCTGGAAGCCCCTTTGCCAGGGGCAGTCTCTGAGAAACTCAGGCTGGCAGCACTGAGCACCGAGTGCAGGTGCCCCTGCCCTGCTGCTATCCGTGCAGCAGGAGAGAACCCAGGCATCCAACCTGCGCTCCCCTTCCTCCCCGAGCTTAGCAAGGCCATTGGTGTCCATGTCCGTGGCCTCGTCCTGCACCAGTGCTTGCATCCTGCGAGCCAGGGAGATGAGGGTACTGCGGTTCTGCATCCCCTGCCCTGTTCTGTCTTGTCTCCATCTCACCGCCTCCCCAAGCACTGGGCTCCACACCAGGCCTGGGCTGCAGCAGGCTCAAGAGTGGGCACCAGGGCTGGGGGGACATCTGTGGATGCAGTGGCTCTGGGGTAGCCCCAGATGTTCCCGGGCCCCCGGCCCCACACCAGGGAGGATGTCCTTATCGTGCCCCTGCTCCCAGGCCAGCTCCAGAAAGCAAAGTGCAGCCCAGGCCCAGGTGCGGGGTCCGCTGTGCTCAGGGAGGCAGCAAGATGGAGACGAGACAGAACAAGGCATGGCCTGGGGGGCAGAACTGCGACACCCTCATGCCCCCTGCTTGCAGCATGCAGGCGCTGGGGCAGGCCGAGCCCATGGAGCTGGACACCAATGCCCCTGGTCAGCTCACGGAGGAAGGGGGACGGGGCCTGGGGTCGGACGCCTGGGTTCTCTCCTGGGGGGGGTGAGAGCAGTAGGGCCAGGAGCCCAGAGAGCCTTGTGGTGTGGGGCTTAGTGCAGGCAGGGGCAAACCCAAGCCCTGACCTAGTGCTGGCGAGGTGGCTGCCTGGAGCCTCTGGACCCAGCACCACAGCTCTGCTGGGGGGTCAGTACGGGGGGGGGGGGGGTCAGGAGGGGGGGGGGGGAAGAGGAGGGGAAGACAGGGATACCAAGCATCCCACAATGCTCTGGGGCAGGCATGGGGGTGCCACTGTGAGGAGGGAAGGTCACCCATGCATCCCAGAATGCACTAGGGCATCCACAGGGTGTGGGGAGGGAGATAAAGCAACCCAGAATGCCATGGGCTTGGCCATTGGAGGGGTGTTCTTCCAATCTTCCCAATATGCACTGGGGTGGGCTGGGTGTGTGTCATGGAAATGCTCCCAGAATGCAATGGGCTGGGGTGGGGTCAACATGGGGGTGAAGAGGGAGGGAAATAAAGTGTGTGGATGCATGAGCACAGACTTGCACAGGGGTGTGCGCGTGCACACACTTGCATGGGGCTGTGCACACTTCCAAGCAGTAAGGGTGCGTACCTTGATGCCCACGGGCTGCCTGGGCCAGCCCCAGGCATGAGCGCGCGCACACACGTATGCACGCAGGCATGCTCAGAGCCCAGCGGCACAGCCCTGGGGGCACCAGTTTAGCCACGGCTGCAGCAGCTGTTCTGGGTGTTGCTGCCCCCCTCTTCGATTCCTGCTCCAGCCTTGGCCCCAGCCCCCCTGATCTGCCCCCACCCAGTAGGATCCCCCCACCTCCCCCCTGCTGGTGGCCCTGGGGGTAGCACTCCTGGTACTCTGAGCCCAGATGTCTGGGTCCTCTCCCTGCTCGAGTGGGAGGGCGGCTAGGACAGGGGTGGGAGCCCGGAGGCCTGGGTTCCCCGTTAGAAGAGAGGGGGGGGAGGGGCAGAAGGCAGAACACCTGGGG